AACACGACCGGTTGGGGTGAGGGGAGGAGGGTCATCTGATCCAGCCCTAAGTGTTTGCTTTATCAAAAGAAAAGTTTTAAGCCTAATCTTAAAAGTAGAGATAGTGTCTGTCTCCCAAATCCAAATTGGAAGCTGGTTCAACAGAAGAGGGGCCTCACAGCTGAGAGCTGTGCTTCTCATTCTACTTTAAAATAGGCTAGGAACGACAAGTAAGCCTGCACGAAGCGCTCTAATGCTGTGATACAGTACCATAAGGTCATTAAGACAAGATAGCGCCTGATTATTCAACACCTTACATGTGAGGAGAAGGATTTTGAATTCAATTCTGGATTTAATGGTGGAGCCAATGAAGGGAAGCAAATATAGGAGAAATATGCTCTGTCTCTAATCCCTGTCAGTACTCTTGTTGCAGCATTTTGGATTAACTGAAGGCTTTTCAGAGATTTTTTGGACATCCTGATCACAATGAATTACAGTAGTCCAGCCTTGAACCACCTAAATCATTTACTTTTTAAATTTTTGTTTCTTCTTTCAGTGTCAGTTTGTGGCAACACCCTCGTGAACAGTCACACAGGAGGAGACAAGAGCACTGTACCCGAAGGAACTTGGCCCTGGATCATAAGTCTTCATCAAAATGGAGTACACAAATGTGGAGGAAGCTTAATATCTGACAACGTTATACTCACAACTGCACAATGCTTCTCTACGTAAGTACACAAACAGCATATATAATTTTTAATTTTAAAATATGAGCTGTTTGAGATTTGTCTTTTAATTGTGTCTTCAATCCTCCTGACAGCACCAGTCCAAATGCCAGTGAATGGAATGTGTTTCTTGGTCTTAGACTCATAAATGGTTCTGAAGAGTTTGAGACATCTTTGGGTGTTTTGAACATTACAGTGAGCAAAATGACTGGCTCCAATATTGCACTATTGGAGCTGTTTGAATCAGTCAGTTTCAACAATTATATCCAGCCTGTGTGTTTGGACATTAGTGATTCAAGGTCTTTCCCCATTGGTAGTCAGTGTTTGGTGACAGGCTGGGAAAACAAGAACAACAGCAGAGGTAAGGGTTTGCTGTTTTAAATAATTGCAGTGTCTGAATATCTTTGGTTGCATTTGCAAATATGACCCCTACAGGTGCTGTTCTTCAAAACATGAAAACTCAAGTTGCAAGTTGTGGCAATCTTTTTGATTCAGATCAAATTTGTACTCACACCATGGACCTTCAAGAGGTAAAAACAATATTTATAATTGTATCCTAAATGTGCTTGGACTGATACTTTCAGGCTTGGTGTTTGTTGATCACTGATCATGAATCCTGTTTTATATCCACAGGGAGGTCAGGGCAGCCCATTGCTGTGCAAGTCAGAGTCATCATGGTTCCAGGTTGCTGTTGTAACAGTCTGTGAAAGTAGACTGAGCCATGGAGATGTTGATGTCTTTACCAAAATCTCAAGATTTGGGTCATTCTTAAAGGAGATTATTGATGAAACACCATCTGCTGCAACACTTTTAACAGGAAGTTCACCTGATTTCTCAGTTTCCTTA